CACCTCCAAAGCCAGCCAAGAGTTATCTCTGATCAGCTATACTGGATCTCAGTATTTACTTGGCCACAAAATAGTTTACGAGCGCCAACTTGACGCTGTACTTTTCTCTTCACGAAGGGGATGTGAGTTCTAACCTTGGCTCTGGCTCAAGACTGCAAGCAGATGGTGACTCAGCTTCTCTGCCTTGCTGTCTCCACATCCTGAATGGGAAAAATATTCGGTCTCAGATCTGTGAGGAAGGTCCTGGACAGGTGGCAGTGTGACAAAGAAGAAAGGCAGTAGGCATCTGTGAGGAGCAGTGCCCTCAGGGGCTACGCCATCACATGACCTTCCTGGAAGCTGGGCTCTTGGGTGTCAGATAGAGTAGGGTGCTATAGCAACATTCGGTGTCCTGGGCTGGTCCCACAGCCCTGACCTGCCAAAACGTTGTGGCATAGATGACAACAGTAAGCCTGGGGAAGCTATGTCAGAAGCTTATGGGAAAGCCCCAAGTCAGACTCTATCCTACTCCCTTGTCCCTAGCATAGTGAGGCAAACTGGACCTGCCCTCCCTTCTCTGAGTTGGGAATGTATTCAGTGGGGCCTTCATCAGGTGGGAGAACCATGGGAACCCTGCTGATCTGCAAGATAAGTCTGTCCTTGTTGGAGGCTTTATGAGGTGCAGAGCAGGGTCTAGGCTGCATACACACTCTGCAGTGATGGCCTGCGAAGCCTGGGTATTTTGTAAGGACAGAAAAGCATAAGGTAAGCCTATTGCAGGGCCCATAGCTTATTTCAGGGGCTGGATGCAGCCTCAGGAGACCATGTGAGTGCTGGCCCTGGTGCTGCAGGGATGGGAGTATTGCACCACAGAAGTAGGGCATGGGAGAGCAGAGCAGGGTGCGACTATGGCAGCATGCAGGAGAGAAATGCGCCAGCTCCAGGCCAAAGGATTTGCAGGCCTGCAAGGACCTGGGGGCTGGGTGAATGATGAACATGGGGGTACACATGAGTTTGTGGAGCCATTTACAGCACAGAAGAGAAGAAATGGTCAGGTGAAGCAGAGTGAACACTCACTGATCACCTGCTACATATTGGCCTCAGGGAACTCAGCCTAGTGATAGACAGAAGTCTTCACAACAATAGCTAGAGACCCTGGGACATCAGACCTGAGCTTGGAGACTGTACTGTACTGCCAAGTGTAGCCAGTGAGACAGGGATCTATGAGGCGGCTTTCCACAGAGCAGGCACTTTCTCCCCCATAAGGGGAGACCCCTGCTGCTGCTAATGCCAAGAACCTTTTATGGGAACCCGGGAAGCCAGGCAGGCCCAGGGAACAACCCAGGAGGGAAGTGGCCCTAAACAATACCTCTTTGCCCCTGCCCCCACCCCCCATACCTTCCTCGAGTGTCGGTGTGATTTTTGCTTTGCTCAGGGCAGGATGAGATAGGACAAGCAAGGGTGAGTCTGAGCCCGCCTTCATGCCCCACCATGGGTGTACCCCTTCCTGCCCACTGCTATTCTCCATTCTCTCTCTTTCATCTCCCCCTTCCTGTTTGGTTTTCAGGTGGTGTGCCCACAGTATCTGTGTTGGCTTTTGGGTGAATTCTCAGGGATAGTTCTCAGGAGACACACAGGAGCATTGGTGGAGTGAGTATAAGGAGCCAGTCCTACATCTCAGGAGGTGGCTCTAGCTGTATCTACAGCCACAACACAGAAGCCAAGTGTTTATACGAGGCCTGTGAAGGACATGTGTGAAGCCCCCAAACCTGGATCCAACTGCTCAGAAAAGACTGTGTGAGTCCAGAATGGGAAACCTGCTGCTTTATAGCCCTTTTCAAAATACTGGGGTCCATGATGACATACACTTAGCTTTTTTGGGGGTGGGGTGGTTTTGGGGTATCAAGATAGGGTTTCTCTGTGTAGCCTTGGCTGTCCTGGAACTCACTCTGTAGACCAGGCTGGCCTCGAACTCACAGAAATCCGCCTGCCTCTGTCTCCCAAGTGCTGGGATTAAAGGCGTGCGCCACCAACGCCCGGCTTGTACTTAGCTTTCTTATCCCAAACATTTTTGTTTTAGTATCATTATGGGCACTTAAACATAACCTCTCAAAATGAACCAGCTAGCTATTGTACTTATCCAGAATTGGATGGGAAAGAAACCTGTCAACAGAGCCTAGCATCTCAACAGGTGTCTTGGTGGTGGTAACATCTAAAATGGATGCTAGTGAAGAGAGGAGGCGCAAGGCGGCCTGGGGGAAGGGAGAAGTGACTGATCCTCTACTACCCGCCTCACAGGATACAGGGGACTGGCCACCCTTGTGGTCACCAAGAGTCTCAATGCTGTCACTATTGATCAGGACAGAGAAGAGACATGTAAAGGGGATGGCTGGCCACAGTGTGGAGGGAGCTGGGAGGAAGGTGGGCAGTTCCACAGCTGGGCTACAGTGAGGACACACCTTACAGGGAGGCAGAGCCTGGAAAGCCACAGAGGCAGAGTCTAGGTCAGGAAGAAGGCCTGTACCACATGTGAAGGCTTGGGTAGCTTGGGGAAGGCAGGGAGGCCACCTCTCAAACACAGGGACACAGCAGGTCCATGGTGGGATGAGGCCACAGTTACGAGGGCCAGGGACAGCCTCCTGGGCTGCACCAAAGGCTACTCCTGGCTTCCCACATGTCTTGCTTTAGTCTCCTCCTCACTGCTTTCAGTACCTTTCTTGACAAGCAGGTTTAATGACCCTGAAGACATGCGATTTTCTTGGCTGCTGCTCACGTCTTCGGGAACGACGCCCACATCAGGAAAGTACAGGAGCTGTGGGCTGGAGGCTAACCCTGTGCCTAGCAGCTGAGCTGCAGCCCACTTAGGGACCAACTCCAGGCTCAGTCAACACCAAGGGCCGTGTGGAACAAAGGTCCTGTGTGGTCCTAAGGACTCATGGGATAGCTGGTGCTGCTCTTTAGCCCACCCGCGACCGCAGGGCACATACTTGTGCGCCAGATGGCTCTTCAGAATGGCTCCTGGGCTTCCTGCCGGGCCATCAACCCTGAAGCAAGACCCTGGGCTTGCAACATTTGACTTCTTTCCTCGTCATCTGTCTCCCAGACACCAATTGTCCTTTGATACATATCACCTTCTTTCTCCCCATGTCCTTCTACTGTGACTCCCAATGTCAGCCACACCTTGGCTTAGCTCAGTCTCTCTTAGCTTATCTGACTGCCTACTGAACCATGAGTCCCTCTCAGGCATGCGACCACCCACTTCCTTCCTTCTTGTAGCTAGCCCACACCTGCTGATCATGGTGCGAAACCCCATGTCTAGGTTCATCTTAGAATCAACCAGAGACTGTGTAATGAGCTGGCATGACACTAAATCACTCCCTTGGGTTCTACCTTTTAGGTGACACACACTCTAAACATTGAAGCCATTATTCCCGGTGCCTTTTATTGAAACAACACATCCTTTAAGTGTGGCCCCTTGGACTCTTTCTTAGAGCTGGAGCTAAGAATACAGAGTCACAAATGCAAAATGCCTCAACATTCCACAAGGGTGACACACTCAGACCTAAACTTAAGAAAATGCCCTTGAACGTTCTGCAATTCTGTAGCAAACAGCCCAGTTCATCCACAGTCTTCCACTAACAGCTCAGAAGTAGTTACTCCTAGGGTGTGTGTGTGTGTGTGTGTGTGTGTGTGTGTGTGTGTGTGTGTGTGTAACAGTCAAGGGCTAGGATTGTCTAAAACCAAGTTCTGCAAGGTCGGTGGAGGGAGCTTGCTAGAGGTGCCTTCTGAGGAACCAGGCTATCTGTGTGGTAGGGCAGAGGTAACCCAGCCTGTCCTATACACCCAGCACTGCTGCTATGAGAAGGGAGGCTCCACACTACAAGGTCCTCCTGAAGGCCCTGGACATTGAATTGCAAACCCTAGACAAAGGTGGATACCAGAAAACAAACAACTGAGAATCTGGGCAAGTTTTACAGTCATCTATCCAAGCTTTTCACCAGGGAAATGTGTGTGTGTGTGTGTGTGTGTGTGTGTGTGAAGTCATTGCTTTCCTCCTGAGCTTAGGATGATAACCAGGACAAGACTAGAGCCTGGAACTCAAGAGGGCAGTGGGACAGCTTCTAAGCTTCCCACGTACATGAGATGTCATGTGATTTGATACTGTTCTCTCAATCACACTGTGATTCCCAGGAAGACATTAATACTTGAGCTCAAGCTGCTTTCAAGGGAAGTGAGCTTGGCTCTATTCTTTCCCTTCAGCTCTGGGGCAAATGCAGACTCCAGAAAGGCCAGGTCTCTTTGTGTCACCACGGAACTGTTTAGTCCTCCCCACACTGGCCTGTGTCAAGATGACAGTCAGTATCCCTCCCCTTGCCCTCAACAAGTAGTCCTTGTGACCCCACTGAGTGGCTACCGTGTGGTGACCCTACGTCAGTTCAGAGCTTTGGCCACAGGGTGCCTGACGCTTTTCCATTTGTTACCTTGGAACCCTGCCAGCTGCTACAAGAACAAGCCTAGACCAGCCTGGCAGTGGTGACAAACTAGCCCAACTGTTCCAGCTCAGGTCCCAAAGATGTCTGCCTGGGCAGACTAGCACAGAATCCTCCGAATGTGAGCAGAGACAAAGGATTACTGCCTTAAACCATGGGCGGTCAGCGGTTTACACAGCATGAAGTAAGCAAAGGCGCCTAACCATCATCGCTCTTGTACCCAGTTACCTGCTTTCTATGTGAGGATCACTCCCCTTAAACCCAGCCCAGGGAAAGCAGAACACAAGAGCAGAAATGGGTGTGCTCTGTACCAGTGTCATGCTCCGGACAGCACAGCCCGGCATTCCCGTACCCCCAACCACAGGCCCCAAGGCCCAGGGAACCAAGTATTCAGAATCTCTCCTGTGGACAGGCAGGGTCTGCAGACGGACAGGACTGGTAATGGGTGGCACCGTTGTCCAGGAGGCACAGGCTTCAAGCATTAACCGCACACGTTTCCAAGTGAGGAAAAGCAGGGAGGGAGTGACTCACCGAGGGCACAGGCAAGCTGCCGTGCCGGTTGAGAAAGGAGTTAGACACGGATACACTGAGGCCCTGAGCGGCACTGCCGTCCTCGGGGGTGAAGGCCACTTTAGTTTGCTGGACACAGTAGGAGACAGAGAAGGAAGAAGCAGCATAGGAGGCCTGCTGGGCAGAGGGTGAACGAGAAGGCAGGGAGGAGGAGAAAGCAGAGAATGGTCAGCATAGGCAGTGTAGCTGTGGGGTCTAACTAACCCTGCAAAGGGATAGAGGCTGCCTGACTCCGCCAAAGGCTGCCTGGACCAGAGGCCCTGCCCTTCTGCCTCGTGACGGATTCTAATATCAGCTTTCAGAAAGACTGCAGAGGACAAGTGGGCTGTAGCCACACAGACGTGGGCTATTCAAAGTGGAGTAGACATGTGTGGTCATTCTGGCCTCCGAGCTCAGAGCCGAGTCAGTCCATCTGCGCCTCACCTGCGCTTCAGTCTGGTCCCCATCAGAGACTACCTGCTGGCCTTGGACCTCCTCCTCCCCTCCTTCCCTCCCTCCGTTTTTTGAGATAGGGTTTCACTGTGTAGTCTTGGCTGTTCTGGAACTTGCTCCGTAGGCCAGGATGGCCTTGAACTCACAGAGATCTGCCTGCCTCTGCCTCCCAAGTGTTGGCATTAAAGGCACAGGCCAACCCTGCACATCGTGGGCATGTCTTAGAGAGCTTGGTGGTCAGGGTCTTCACTTGGAAACTGTAGTGAACTCTTGTAGCTTCTGTGTACATTTGGGGGAGGGTTAAATGAAGTACCATGCACCTAGCACTCCGAGTCCTGTCTATCACTGTAAGTTCAACTGCCACCACTCTTTTGCGTAAGATGTGCACACTCCTATATGTGTGTGCTGGAGACAGGACACACCCAGCAACTGGCACAGCCCGACCTGTGGGAGGCCAGGGCTCACCTGGAGCTGGGCTTTGATTTCTAGGTCTTTGGGCAGCTGTGGCCTGGGATAAATTCTTCCAGTTCCCTGCCTCCCTTTACTCATTGTGGATGCCAGGAACTATGAGGGCTCTGTGCACCTGAGCCAGCCTGGAGAGGTCACTAGTTGGCTGATCTCTCCCCAACCCGCCGTATGGTGGGTCAGGTGGCCTTCCTGTTACACCCTTGCAATGGTTCTGTCCCACATGTATGTTCAGAGTCTGCGGACTTTTCAGTATAGAGACGCCCAGGGCAACCCACAGCCATGGATGAACAACTTCAGTAACGACTGGTCAGCAGTGGTCCCAGGCCCACATTTCTACTCTCATAAAGACAACCTGGGAAACAACCAGAATGGTTTAGAGTTGCAGGTGGTTCCCTGGGTCCCTGTTCAACCTTTAATCTCTATAGGAGGCTGCCTCTGTTAGGCTGAGTTTCTCGGGAGAAGCAGATGCCTGGTGAACTGATGGCTATGGCCTGTGATGGCTGAACAGCTCAGAACCCAGGCCAAGTCCCAGGACACCAGGGCAAACAGGGCTTACTTCCTCTCACAATGCACAGAAAAGGGCTTAGCTTGCCACGCATGTCCCTTTTCTATCCAGAAACTGGACTGGCCAGAAAAGCAGCAAAGCAACCCACACGGCTCTGGAAAGGTTAAGACTTGAGCTCTACAGAGTTTTGCTGGAGCAGGGCTCTGACCCTGAAGCCCAGTGTGTACCAGCAGCAAGGAGAACAAGGTTGGAAGCAGCTTCGGTGCTTTGCCACCGGGGTGAGTGTGCAAGCCAGGCAGGCTCCATCACAGAGGTGTGCAAAGGAGGGCACTGCTGGGTTTGTCGCACAAAGTGGCTCTGTCTGGAGCCACCCTGCTTCAGTGGAACTTGTTCCCATGGGGCCATCCCTGGCCAGGACTGGGATGGAAGTCACTGCATACAGTTAGGCCCATTATGGAAGTCAAGTCCACAGATGGCTGCACACAGACAGCGCTCTGTGCTTTGATGGAGCCTCTCCTATCTATGAGGTCTGTGTCAGAGCCAAAGAAGAAAGGGAAGACACAGAGACTGTCAGCAGGGAAATCAAACACTCTGAGCACAAGTCCGCCCCAGCTACACAGGCTGCTTTGGGGGAGGAGGCCCTTCGCTGCCAGGGCAGGAAGGCAACAGTGTGGGGGGCAGGCTGCTCAGAGTATCTGGGGAGGGAGTGCAGGCACCACGTGGGACACAGTGACTTGAACACACCTAATGAGTGAAAAGCAGGTTCAACCTGGCCCCAGCAGGACCGCTCCGGTTTTGGAAGCTCTGGTCACCCGCAGCAGTGCCAAGGACACAGATGGGGAACTGCTTACCAGCTGCCGTTGCTTGGGGGGCAGGGCGGGTGGGGGGGCCAGCTCCTGCGTAGAGTCACTGCCACAGAAGGAGTCGCTGAAGCCGTAGACCTCCATGAGCATCTTGTTCTTCTGCTGGTAGATGTGCTCACTCTGCGGCGTCTGGTAGAACATGGAGGGCTGTGGCTCTGAGTAGTCCTCAAGCAGCTGCATGTAGGCCAGCACTGTGGACAGAGGGGGCTGCTGTTCTCTCACCAGAGTGGAGCCCACAGAGCCACCCCGGCCAGCTCTCATGCTACAGGGAGAGCTCGGAGCCTCGCAGAGCAGGGATGCTACTCTGGGTCTACAAAGGTGGACATGTGCCATCGCCCAGCTGCACACACTCACAGAGGCCTCTGTGCATGGCAAGCTCTGGGTGTGATGCCTGTCAGTTAGGTTCTGCCACTATTAACAGATGTCCCACTCTGCCAGGGGTATCGACATTGGGGGAGGTTGTGAATATGGGAAAATTTTGTACTTTCCACTCAGTGTTGTTGTGAGCCTTAAACAGCTCTATAAACACAAGTTAAAGCTCTGTTAAAGAAAGCACAAGGGGCACTTTGCACTCTTCCTGCAGAGGTGTTGGGGGTTTCCAAGCTCAGCAGTACCCAAGGCTCTGAAGAGCTGTTCAGCCTCAGCCTGCCCTTGGGGTTAGTCTCAGATAATGAACACACAGAAGGCTCCTGATGTTTCCAAGTCCTGCCCTTGACCTGCTGTGCTGGGGGTGGGGGGTGGGGGTGGAGTGGGTATCCCCATCTACAACCTTCTTTTCACCCCTGTTTCCCTCTCAACTCCCCCTACCACTGCAGGGATGCACTTGGGAATGGGCCTGACCATTCAGTGATGGACAGACAGGAATATGATAGTGATGCAGAACACAGCATTTAAAAAATAGATGGAGCTGGGTGGTGGTGGCGCACACCTTTAATCCCAACACTCGGGAGGCAGAGGCAGGTGGATCTCTGAGTTCAAGGCCAACCTGTGTCTACAGAGCGAGTTCCAGGACAGCCAGAGCTACACAGAGAAACTCTGTCTTGAAAAACCAAAAACCAAAAACCAAAAAAAAAAAAAAAAAAAAAAAAAAAAAGATGGAGCAGGATTACTGCTTTCCACTTAACAGCCAGCTCTAGCAGGGCAGGGGCATGTTTGATCTGTCCACAAACATTTGTAGAATGGGTGAATGAAACATGTTCCCAGTAAGCACCTCTAGCTCAGTGGGCTTCCTTTCTAGCTGAAGGGACATAGGCAGACCAGCAAGAGGACAGAGGGTGGGAGAGAAAGTGCACAAATGCTAACTAATACATCTCCCCCACCCGATACCACCATCCTTGCACAGGGAGGATAAGCTGATGTCTCCCAGCAGAGCTGCCTGTTACAACCTGTCTGCCTGGCAAGGCTGTCACAGCCTCTCTGCCGCAGCAGGGTGGCAGCCAACAACAGCAGGGACCTCATGTGCTTGGGGAGTTGAGAGGCCAGAGAATCAAAGCTCAGCTGTTACAGCTCATGCTCTCATCCTTGCAGGCACTTTCTACACAGCAGGTGCAGGGCCCTGAGCTAGAACTAGAGGGCTCTGGGAAAAGGGCTGGAACATTCCATCTGTCCCGAACCATCATCTCTACTCTAGGCATCCCCGAATACACAGAAGGGATGGTAGAGACAAGGACATAGTTGGTACTTTGAAACCTGATTAGGGCTGAGTATCATTTCACTCATAGAGAAAGCAGGAATGACAGCTGTGACGCAAAGACCCTGGGCCTCAGACCAAAGGACCTAAGTCAATGTGTGGAAGACACAGGGACACAACCTTCTGCATCCCCAAGTGCCAGGAGCATGTGCTCTGCAATGTGGACATTTTTCTGATAGTTAGAAATTGCCACCTCTGCGGCGTACTGACAGAACATGGCTGTGCTCCCCATGGCTGAACATGGAAGAGAGTCCCATAGTGCTGCTACTGTATCCTTGTTCGGTCACAGCCTAGGAGTGACTCTAGCCCCGCCACTGGCTTTCCAGAAGGACCAAGCAACCCCCTCTATCCAACAATGCCATCAAACTGGGTATCCTCAGGCCTTTGGGACTCCTGGTGCTGAGGCCCTGGTAGAGGCCTGCTAGCTGCACACAAAGCACAGCAAGAGGCCAACCCTTCCAGAACTAGGGAAAGGGCCCTTTCCACAGTGGGCTGCTCAGGGCCAGAGGAGCCTACAAGATAGGGATGCTTGGCTGCAGGCACCTGGACTCTGGGAGCAATCAGGGTTATTCAGGTGCTCCCAGGGACTACTCTTAACAAGGAGCCAGGGTCCATCATGATGTCAGGGCACCGCTCTCAGTGAAGACATATTATGACATCAGAACTGCCATGTATGAGCTTGCTTTAGAGGCTCCAGATATAAGCGATGACATTTATTCATTCTTTCTCTCAAAAGCAGTTCTCTGAGGCTTTCCGCCCATCACAGGTGGAACTCTCCCATGGTCCCCTCTGGGAGTGAAGGACAGACTGGACCAGGACTGAGCTCAGGATGCTTCAAGTTCTGGGCTCTTACATTGAACACAGAAAAATGACCCCTGCATGGGGAAGAAAGGAAAAAAGAGACCTCTACTGAAAACAGTGGGTCTTAGGATAGAGGGCAAAGCCCATCCTTTTGGGCTTCAGTATACTCAGACCTCAGTGAGGTTCGAACCCCACACTGCCTCTCATTTGCTACTCTGAGGACCAGTTTTGGCACCTCTGAAACCTGGCCTGGAGAACTAACTATGTAAGCTTTTGTTCTGCGCCATTACATGCGAACCCTTGGTTGTCCTAAGGGATCTGCATAAGAAAGTACTCTGGTCAAGCAGGATAGAGCTTCAGTCACCCTCTCAAGCTCCAAAAAACACTTCAGCCCCTGAGATTTGAGATTAACAGAAACAATGGCCTTGCCCCATCCTCTATCAGCTACTTCCCTTTCTGTAGGCCCTGCTGGAGAAGCTCGGCCCACTCTTGTTCTGAGAGCTACAAGCAGTACACTTCAACAGGTACAATCCTGTCCCACACACTAGTCCACAGGACCCTTTGATGAGAAAGAGCCCCCCGTCCCCTGCAAGGGTGTGTTCCCAACTGCTAGGTGTCTTCTCAGCAGAGCTCGGTCTATAACTAGCCAGCTTACAGGACACATGGAATGACATCACCAGTTTGCAGGCCAGCCTTCTCTCTTGGCTGGGGACCACTCCACCAAGGCTAGGACAAAGCTGTGAGACACCCTGGGTGTGGGGGGTGTGGTTGCAAACTAGGGCCCTCTGGTCCCAGAATGACTCTGCTGGGTTTAGTGAGGCAGGCCTTCCTTTGGGAACAGGAAGCCCTCATCAGGGAGTTAGAAGTTCAATATCTAGTTTTAGGTGTTCTTGCTGGATTTATACCAGGGTAAGAGGACCATCAGGTTTTGCAGCTGATGTGGCTACATACATCAAAATGGTGACATCTGGTCTGCCAGAGAAAATCTGAGGACAGTGTTAGTGATGCGGGGGAGAAGGCATGGGAGTATGGCCTGTAATCTCCCATGTGGAGCAGTTGGGGAGGGAGGAGAAAAGACGGAATGTCCAGAATGTTACTTAGTAATGCTATGGCAAAATTACAGTTGGAAACCATCCAAAATACAAGTCTACCTTCCAGACCCACCCAGCAGTGACACCCATCTACTAAAACATCTAGGCCAAGAGCTGATCTCAGCCCTCCCACCAGTCAGCTCTGATCCATGTCACTGTGAGCAGCCTGTCCACGCTGGCCAAGCCCTGTGTATACCCAAATGTCCATTTCATGTGCATGTTACAGCAATGCTGCTCTGTGTGCCACGGCACTCAGTTGCCTTTGTCACTACGTCTTCAGGCCAAAAGGGTCAATGAATTGCATCTACAGAGGAGAGACACTTGGGAGCATCAGGCCTGTGATTTTAAAGACCACAAAGGAGAGATGAGCTAATCAGACTTTCAAGGACCATGAATAGTGATAGCATCAGGCCCCTGGAAACATCCACATGTGTACCTATGAGCCTATCCTATATAAAAGAATGAGGCCATGGGCTTGGTTTTGGTCTCATGCTTGGGCTAGGCAAAACACATAATTGTTTAGGCTTACAGAGTGTGCAGAGAACTTACTGTGTTTGTTTTTCTTCTCTGGTAGAGGAGGTGGCTTCTCGGGGTCACCCGCTGACTCTGGAGCACTGAAATCACCCACAAACTCAACAGGGGCTGGGGAAGTTCCCTGTTGAAAGGGCAGGATAGCAGCAAAGGGTGTGTAGGGCACAGGTTGGACTGGGGTTGGGTTCTGCAGGTCATCTTCTGAGATGTTGTCATACTGTGAAGGGTGTCGCTCATAGGACACCCTGCAGCCAGAGCTGTCCGTAGTCTGGGAGGCTGCACTCCTGCGCTTCTTCTCAGGAAGGGCAGGTGGAGTGTCTGTCTGCTGCCCTTCCTGCTGGGGACAGCTGCCCAGAGGCAGCTGCAATGGATGGCCAAGAAATGGTGGCCCAGCCTCCCCCAGGGACTCCGGCAGTGGGCTGAGGCTGCAGGCCGCCTGTGGAGGGGTCTGGTCTGCGTTGGAGAGGTCTTGCTGGAGGAATTCATAGTCGGGGTCATAGTGATCTACAAACCAAACAGGAAAACAGCCCTTAGCTGCAAGCCTCCGGAACATCACCCACCTGCTTTGCTCGGTCTCCCTCAGAGGACAGAGGGTATTGCTTGATCTCTTCTGTGAGCTTCTACTTAACCAGATATTCTTTTTTTTTAAATTATCTAATTTTATTTCATGTGCATTGGTGTTATGTCTGTGTGAGGGTATTGGATTCTCTGGAACTGGAGTTACAGACAGCTGTGAGCTGCTATGTGGTGTTGGGAACTGAACCTGGACTCTCTGGAAGAGCAGCCAGTGCTCCTAACTACTGAGTCATCTCTCCAGCCCCTTACCTGGATATTCTTTATCTGCCACTGACTATAGCAGTTAAAGAGGTGGCAAGATGGCTGTGTGCTATACTGGTCTCTGTGTCTTGTACTTTAATGCATGCACACGCAAATATGAAATGTGACTTTTTTCTTTTTGGGGAGTGGTGGTGTTCTGGGGCTTGTGTATGAATCTGATCACTGAGCTATATCCCCAGCATTTTCCAACTTGGTTACTTAACAAATAAAATATACAGGACTATTGCAGGAAAATGGCAAATGATTATGAAAAATAAGAACTCAGAGATGCTCATCATAGTTTACATCTTGATGTATTTTCTCGAAAGTTTTTTTTGGGGGGGGAGAGTTTTTTTTTTTCTGAGACAGGGTTTCTCTTTGTGTAGCCCTGGATGTCCTGGAACTCACTTTGTAGACCAGGCTGGCTTTGAACTCACAGAGAGAGATCGGCCAGCCTCTGCTCCCTGAATACTGGGATAGAAGGTATGTGCCATGACTGGCCAGTGAAAGGTCTTAAAGTTCCTTTTTTCCCCAGGATCCTATCCCCACATTTTTTTGTTTGCTTGTTTTTGAGACATGGTTTCACTATGTAGCCTTGGCTACCTTGAAATTCTGTCTGTAGAACAGGCTGGCCTGGAACTTATAAAAACCCTCTAGCCTTTGCCTTCCAAGTTCCAGCATGTACCACCCTTTTCCCATCTTTTTAATTTAAGTAAGAAAACGGCATGTCGTTGGTCTCGGCGTTTGTCCATGCCCCAACATCCATGTGACTTTCACTAGCTCCTGGCTTCTTCATCAGAGCAATGTCCCATCATTCATCTGATTCCCACTAGTGACTCCTACCAGGGTCTCCAGAGTATCACCAGTTAATTCTTTGTAGTTTAGCCTCCTCAGACAGAAGCCTTCCCAACAATTTCTCCTGTGTGCTTAGGACACTTTCTCAGAAGGGAAAGGATCCCAGGACACAAACAGGTTGGTACCGGTGCCAATAAGGATAAGGAGGCTGCTTGATGCTTTCAACCTCTGTCAGTCACTTCAGGACTCACAGAAAACCCTATGTACACATGGACCGAGTCAGGATGTACACTGCCAGGCCACCTGTAAGGAGGGTGCCTGCCTGAGCATCTGCTGTGTGACTCTGCTTGGTGATTTCATACATACTTTCAGCCTCTTCCACGGCAGACACCATCCTCATTTTGCAGAGGAGGAAACCGAGGCTTGGATTTTAAAGGATTTGACCAAGGTCACCTAGTTAATGCTTGGAAATCAGCTGACTCAGGCCCAGAATCAAAGGACCCAGGCAGCTCTGGAGGAAGGAGGAGGGCTGTGGAGGCTTACCTAGTGTTTCACAGCTTGTGTTCCGTGAGCACTGCCCACTATCCCTGTCTAGGGAAGACAGCTGCTCGTCTGACCGGCTGAGTTTGCCTGTGCTGCTGCAGGGGGACAAGCGAGGAGACTCACCACCGCAGGAGCGGCTGCCTCCTGACAGGCGCCTCTGGGAGTAACAGTCAATATCAAAGTCCTAGGGAAGAATGCAAAGGAGCCTTGGTCATCCTGGGAAGGGCAGCAGAGACCAGGGACAGGCAACTGGCAGGCTCACCGGCTCAGAGGCCACCTCTGATGCCAGACTATCTTTAGCTAGTAGCTAAAGCTTTAGCTTTTGGACTCAATGTCCAGGCCCCAATTCCAGTCCCCTTCCCCAGAAGAAAACGGACTGCATTACCTGCCTATTGATTCCAACCGGCAAACTGGAGCCGCTGGTAGCTCGACTCATAGGGGCTACCACAGCCACTCGGGTAGGGGATGGAGCTGACTGCCTTTTCTTGGGTGGTAATGCTGGAGGACTAGAAGAGACAGAAAATCCAGGCAAACTGCACATCACAAACAGGAGAGGGGTTTAAAACGGTTTTAGGGAACAAGACACAAGTGAAGCTCTTTCTCCACACCTAATTTCCACACTTTAACTGCCTCCTGTTTCCCTCTTGCCAATCACTACATGAATGACAAAAGAACAAAACCAAAAGAGATTCTCTTCCTTCGGCAGTAAATCATGCCCGGTTTCACTAGAGGTAAGCTGTAAGAGCGCAGAGCCTGGCCACCCTCAGAGACACTCCTTTCTCCATAGTGCCAGCCCCTGGGGCATCTAAGAGACAAAGTCCTAAGTCTTACCCCAAGCACACCATTATCCTTTTCACTCATTCTACCATCTTCTCCCCACATTAGGTCATAAATGGGGAGGCACTAGAAAAACAAAACAAAAACTCCTCAGAAGTTTAGGATAATTACCTGTTATCAACCACCCGAATGCCAGGTAAGGGGGGCTTAGGGGGTGCGACCTCTTCACTAGTGGAGTCTGGGAGCAGTTCAGCGGATGGTGACACACCTGTTGTCGTCTTGTTCAGAATCTCCATTTCCCGGTCTGTCAGAGGGAGCTCAGGGTGGCTGGAGAAATGGAAAAAGAACCGGGCTCACACACTGTCAGAGAGCATGTGGACCCTGAGAGCGAGAGGTGGGGGCTGGGGGAGTGATGGGCTGAGGAGCAGCTCCACACAGTCCTGAGTTCCCACGGACTCAAGACTGACCAGCTACCAGTCTGTTCTAAAACAAAGTGTCCAATTTTTAACATGGGCTAATCCTTGAAACTAAGGCAAAACAGTAAGGTTGTCCTCATCTTACTCAGAAAACACCATGCCACTGGCCTCGCAGTTAAGTCCATGTATGAATATCCCATTAACTGAGTTAATCAAACAATCCACGATCTCCCACAACCCCTCACCCAAGCTCTTGGGAGTTCATGGCACAGTGACAGGCGCCAGAGGCCTAAGAACAGGCAATCACTTCCTTTTGTACACTCTTGCACAGTTGAACTTGTAAAGTACAAGGCAACACTTGGAAACTTCTGTGGAATACACACTTTAAAGCATCAGGTACTCACCAAAACTTAGACTGGAAAGGGAACCGGGGCTACTCTCACGGTCCCTCAAATGCTTCTTCTGACTGCCTGGCTCCTACCCTTTGTCAAGTGTGGGCTCAGACCCAAAGCAAGTGCTTGGTCCCACAGGGACCTCAGTGACAGAAGTCTGCTCAGACTTACCCATCAGGCTTGCTGGCTGGGGAACTAGGCTTCACTGGGCTTGTTGGTGATGGCCGCCCCTGCTTCTCAATGGTTAGCCTGACTAGCTCCTGTACTCCATGAGAGAGAAAAGGAGGAAAAGAGAGAGGTAGAATGATCCCACTGTACCTTCAGCAAGAGGCAGGGCTTCCTGAGTCCCACTTTCATGCTCACACACTTTTCATATAGATAATGCATACAGTTCTTAATGTGTCTCTTTCTCTCTAAAAATACCATCACAGCACACCGTGAAGTTCCTACTACATCATGCACTTCCTCTTGAAAGGAGAAATGGCAAGTCTCAGTCTCTAGATGAACAGACCACTACACACTTGAATTCCTGTGCAGTCTGGGGAGGGAGCGGGAGACATTTTTGGTTCCCTAAAGCTGTCACGTTATGCACCATGGTGCCCTTAGCCATCTGGTGTCTGGCTTTGAGTGTTTTCCCCAGGTGCACTGACTCAGTTGAAGCAGGAACTGGAGACCCAGTGGACTGGCTGGGAACCTTCTTGTCAATGGACTTAGAGTAAAGGTCATATGACTCAGCAGAGAGAAAATAAACACAATGGCACTTGAAATAACCAAGAAGAGGCTGATCAGGACCTGGAGATCATGGAGTAGGTGAGGCTAGCTGGCCAAAGAGCTCTAGTGATCTGTCTGTCGCTTGACTCCCTCGTGCTGGGATCACAACTGTGGCCAGCACACTTGGTTCCTGTGCACTCTGGGGATTGAGCTCAGGTCACGATTGTGCGGGAGGAACTTTACAGAATGAGCTATCACTTCAGCTTTAACTTCCAATCTTTGTGGAGGCCAAATTCATACACCACGAAATCCAAGTGTGTGAGTCCATGTGCAATCCTTAACACAGTCAACTTCAGGACAGAAACTCTTCCTGCAGTCCCTCATGTTCCCGCCACCCCTTCCTGGCTAACCTGCCTCAGAAATCCACCTTCTTGCGCTTGAGTTAGCTGCCACACTTCGGGGAGCCCCGGTTTCTTTCCCACTGCTGGGCAGTGCTTTTCTACACACCACCTCCTCACCCTCCCTAGATGGGGTGATTCTGGTGATGACCTGTGGGCACGAGAGAAGAACATGCCACTGCCGAGGACACAGAGGTGGGTCACCTAGCCACATCTCCCTGCCCAGGACCAAAGCAGGTTCTTCTGACAACAGAAAAACTGGGAAGAAGATGAACATACAAAAAGAAATATTAAAGAGGAATGTCACAAATGGAAGGATGTCATGATCATGAAAGCTTCTCACGTTTGATGGCAATAAAACAGACACTTGCAGACACGGGGCGATGTGGGGTGGGACAGTGTCAGAATGACGCATCACTCTGGCAGCACACATGTGTCAGTAGTGGATGACCTACCTACTGGTACATATAGAAAGCCTCACATTTGTTAGAAGAATTTTGTCTGAGGAAACTGCCATGGATATATGCAAGAGCTCAGCTATGGAGGATGCAGCTGCTGGTAAAATGAGACTTTACAGCCCACAGTTAACACTCACTCCAAGTACCAAGTATGTAGATGTGACAGAACCCAATACTCTATAGTCAATGGGGATATAACCCAGCAGGAACATGGGCCACAGCATGAAGAAACGGTGCAATTCTGGGACCACGGGCTGCAGAAAAGCCCTACCTGCTTTGCTGGGGTACACTCCAAATTTTGGAAACAAGATCACCCTCCCCTTTCAAATTGTATCTTCTACATTTTCTAAAACAGACCTAGGTTAATTCTGAGAAAACTGTCTCCCCTACACCATGACAGGCATGTCCATGGAACCAAACCAGGCTCATCCCATTCTGTTCTTGGAGCCATATGGGAAGCAAGATCCTTGGGAGCCTAAGGTTAGCACAGGAAGGGGAGGGGGCTTCTTTTACTTGTTCCCACAATTCAGAACTCAGAGTGAGTGATAGAGGGATGGGAAGGGGAAGCAGCTAGAAGGAGACTGCCTCCTCGCCTACTGCCTGGGGAACATGGGAGAGTGGCAGAGGCAAGTTAGAAAGACTGCTCTGGACTCTACTACCAACAACTATAAATTGAGATCAACTATTAGTTCAATGAAAATTAGTTTTTTTCTTTTTTTTCTTTCTTTCTTTTTTTTTTTTTTTTTTTTGGTTTTTCGAGACAGGGTTTCTCTGTAGCTTTGGAGGCTGTCCTGGAACTCACTTTGTAGACCAGGCTGGCCTCGAACTCACAGAGATCCGCCTGCCTCTGCCTCCCGAGTGCTGGGATTAAAGGCGTGCGTCACCAACGCCCGGCTTCTTTTTTTTTAAAAAGGCTTATTTGTTACATAAGCAGTGTTCTGTCTGCTTGTATGCCTGCAGGCCAGCAGAGGGCACCAGATTTCAATTACAGATGGTTGTGAGACACCATGTGGTTGCTGGGAATTGAACTCAAGACCTCTGGAAGAGCAGTCAGTGCTCTTAACTCTCCTAAACACTGAGCCAGTTCTCCAGCCCAAAAATCAGTTTTCAAAAGCCAAAAATACATTTGGAGAAGATCTTCCTAAGAACATGAAATGTTCCCATGTTCATTCCATTCATATTGACCATGACTGTAGAGACGGAAGTGCTTGAATGATTTAACAAGTCAGCACCAGCTCTGAGCTTGAGCGTCCCCTCCTCTCTGTTTTCTCCTGAGGATGATACAAAGACTCTAGTGGCAGAGGGGCCACACTGCTGTGATGGTCCTGGCACAAAGAACCCAAGGACAGTATGGCTGCTGGTGTCCCTGTGTTCATTCTCACAGGACTATTGCACTCTGGTGTCTGTGTTCATTCTCACAGGGACTATTGCACTCTGGTGTCCCTGTGTTCATTCTCACAGGGACTAGTCCACTGGAAGCACACTAGCTGCAGCCTGGACCTTTCATTCCACCTCAGATCCACACCTATCTACTCTCTGGCACTATGGTCTCTGGGTACGGTGCCAGGGCACAAGAAATCTGTGGTTATACACCAAGGCTCAGTGCCACATACTTTGGAAGAGGGTCAGTGTCTGACATGTGACAGACACTGGCCAGTGAGGACTGGGGTGGATTCCTGTGACAGAAGCTACAGGACATGATCACAGGAGTGGCCAGCCACAGAGCAACTGTTGTTGTTTTGCTCTGTGGTTTTTAGACAGGGTCTCTTTGTAGTCCTGGCTGTCTTAGAGCTCTGTAGACCAGGCTGACCTCCATCCCAGAGATTCTCCTGCCTCTGCCTCCTGAGTGCTGGGATTGAAGGCTGCACCACCACATCCAGCCCCGAGTAACTTAATGGAGACAACAAGGCACCTTCTCTGCCCACATCAAAAGTGGCAGTGAGAAGCAGCAAGTTGAGGAAGTGTTTTCAGCTGTACACACAGCCAGGAAAGCACAGGGCTTGACACACGAGGCATGGATGGAGATGGGTAAAGACTGTTTGAGGAGCAGCTGGCATTCCTTACACAGGTCTAAAACAGGGGACTTCAGGTGCCACCCTGTAATGGCGATGGGTGGGATCAGGGCCAGCTAGGGAGCTGCATGGACATTTTAAAACAAGCAACACAGGGACAGAGGATGCTAGGAAGCACTCGTGATTGTGAAAACCCTACATGCAAGGAAGGCAACAACAAGCTTTGCACAACAACCAGAAGGGGAGTTTTCTCTTTCAGACAGTCTGTGCATTGATGGAAAACTAGCAGAGAATCCCTTTACATGTCATAGCCTGAAAACTCTGGGACACAGCAGTCACCACCACCTATTACCAACGGGGCACCTTTGTTGGAAGCACAGTGTTATCTAGTCCTTTCTTCACTAATAGACTGACAGGGCTCTGGTCTTCAGTTTTACAGGACTCCAAGGGGCTGAGGGACATGCTGACCAGCACTATGAGGGTGCCTTTGATAACTACACTGCCAGCTTTCAGGGGCAATAACTCTAAAATAAATTTAAAATTTTTTCAATGAACAAAATGAGGCTGGAGAGACGGCTCAGTGGTTAAGAGCACTGGCTGTTCTTCCAGAGGACCCAAGTCCAGTTCTCAGCACCACACAGGACGGCTTACAACTGCCTGTAACTCTGGCTCCAGGTGATCTGATGCCTCCTCTGGCCTCTGTGGGCACTGCACACATGTGGCACACATACAGACAAGCAGGCACATACACAATAAGTAAAAATAAAATTTAAAATAACCCAAAGCCCCAAAGTTTCAAGGAGACATCCACCTGCTGCTACTGGTACACAGAGGCTCCACCTGGGTCCTAGATTTTAGAAAGCAAACCTTTTTAAAAAAGCAAACCTAGCCAGGCAGCGGTGGTGCACACCTTTAATCCAAGCACTCAGGAGGCAGAGGCAGACAGAGCTCTGCGATTTCAAGGCCAGCCTTTACTACAGAATGAGTTCCAGGACAGCCAGGGCTGTACAGAGAAACCCTGTCTTGTAAACAAACACCCAAAAGAAAAAAGCGAGCCACACCCTGAAGGCCAAAGCCAGCCTGGGACTTGTTTCTAGAAAGCACTCAAGGTAGGACTGACTCAAAAAACAAAAGCACCAAACAAGGACTGTGCCACTCAGACTGTCTGTGGATTGAAAGGTTTAAAATATCTACCATGTGGCCCTTCCAGAACAAGATGCCCTACACCAGGAAGGAAGTATTACTTGGGATTTGTACCCTGCAGTCTCGGGAGCCAGTGACTGAAGAGAAGAAAGCAGACTGGCCATGTGGGGAATTAGTGGGGCCTGATGCAACTCTGGCCAATAAATGTAAAAGAAATTCTGCGAGAAGATCTAAGAAGGCTCCTTAAAAGGAGAAGCTACAATGTCCACCTCCTCTTGCAAAATGTAGCAATGGTAGCTGGAGAGGAGACAAGCACTCTGAATCACTGGATAGAATCCATGTGCTAACGACAGCAGGAATGTGAGATAGGCACATCCTTGATCACTCGGAAGATCACACACTAGCCTTCATCTATCTCTGATCTTTACATATGCAACATAACATTCTATTTCTGTGTCATGGGTGGAGGCCAGAGGTTAATACCTTTCGACCTTACTTTTGAGATAGGGTCTCCTTTTGGACTGGGACCTTGCCTACTTGACTAGACTATCTCATCACCAAGCAACCAAGCCCCGGCTGTCTTGACTTCCCTTAGTGCTAGGGTCACGGGTACATGCTGCTGTACCTAGTTTTTTGTTGTTGTTGTTGTTTGTTTTTTTAAAACATTGTGTTCAGGGGGCTGGAGAGATGGCTCAGAGGTTAAGAGCACTGACTGTTCTTCCAGAGGTCTTGAGTTCAATTCCCAGCAACCACATAGAGGCTGACAACCATCTACAATTCAATCTGGTGTATATGTAATAAATAAAATAAATCTTTAAAAACAAAACAAAACATTGTGTTCAGGATCCAACTTATTCCTACATGTGTAGTTCATGTGGCAAGCACTTCACAGATTGTGCTCAAACCCTCCAAAAGTTTTATGTCTAATTTTTTTTACACTGATTGATGGGTTGATTGTGTGTGTGTATGTGCATGTGTGCCATGGTTCCCATGTGGAGGTCAGAGGACAATTTGAGGGAGTCAATCCTGTTATCAGGTTTGGTGGTAAGCACGCTTCCCTGCTGAGACATCTCTCCAGCCACAGCTTCTCCTTGGCTGAGCTTTCTGTCCTGGCTGCTACAGTCAGAAAACGTCCTTTCCTCTAGGTGTTCCTTTGTGCCACAAGCTGAGTCTGCTATACAAGCCCAGTGAAATGACAAAACTATGGCTCCCTGAAGGTTTTCAGTAGAAGACATTAATTTTTTTTCTGTGTATGTGTCTGTGTGAGTGTCTGGATGCTCACAGAGGTCAGAAAAGGGTGTCAGGTCCACTTGAGCTGGAGTTAAGGGTGAACTGCCTGATATAGATGCTGAGAACCAAACCAGCAGGAAGTGCTCTTAGCTACTGAACCATCTCTCCAGCCCCTATTATTATTATTATTTTAAATTATAAGTATTTTTTAGTCTATATGAGTGGCTGGAGGCTGGGGATACAGAAGGCTGGAAGGGAGGGCCAGACAATTCCAAGAGCAAAAGGTATAATGTCTGAAGTCAGAAGGGAAGTGGGCATTTAATTGGCACAGTCCAGAAATTGGTGAGTTGCCCTGGAGGGAGCCACAATTCTTATCTAAGACTAGCAAATGTAGCTACTCTGGTGACAGTTTCTGCGGTCAGCAGTGCTCGCCCCTGCCTGCTGGCTACCCAACACTTGCCAGGTACTTCATAGGCAAGATCTTCTCTCCCCTCACACCTTCAGGGTATTTAAAAACCTACAAGAATCTCAGAGGACTCACCTGTCCAATGTTACACAGCTAGCGGCATTTACGTGAAGATTTATGTGGCAAATGACAGTATTCATGTAGGAACAAAATCAAAATAATCTGCCTTTCAAATTCATTTCCAGTCTTCACTCCCCACCCCCAAAAGAATTCCATTTAACAACTGAATGAGCTCCTTAAGGACTAGTGAGTCAGTTTGTAGGAATGCACCATTTCTGCTCCAAGCAGGATGAAGACAGCCAGCTAAAGCCTTTGTATCTGCACACTCCTGGCCCTCGCGGCTGAGGCAGCTTCCTCATACACTAGGACATGGGCTTATAAGGTGTCCTTGTTAGGAGGACCCTTTGGGTAAATCTCCTATGAGGGGGCAGCAGAGGGCGACTCAGTGTCTAGGCCCAACAGACATGTATGGAAACCACGAGCTTGCCACTGACTATGGTCCAAAAGGGAAGGTGCCTACCACAGAGGGCTGTTACAAGTATAAAGCTGGCAAGAGTAAGTGAGTTCAAGGCCAGCCTGGTCTACAGAGGACAGCCAGAGCTGTTCCACAAAGAAACCCTGTCTTAGAAAAACCAAACCAAACAAACAAATAGCATCTATTAATTATTCGTTATTATTACTATAATATTCTAATCACAAATGCCAAAGTTGACCAATTTCACTCCTTGACTCTAGAAGCTTCCCATACCACAGGCCAGCTGACCTGCTTTCCTTAGGGATGGTTCTCTGACCTCCTTGTTCCTCTGGTAGCACAAACACTCCTCGTTGTGGCGTGTGGCATCCTTTTATGTAACTGTGGACATTTCTTTGTCAGTGAGTGATAAGCTCCCCAAAGCTAGGGCCGGTGACACTGTCATTCATTACTGTGTGTGCAGGTCTGTCCCACTACCGGCACACAGGAGGCTCTTGATAATGCTCAACAATAAACAAGGCAAACTGAAAACAGAGCCCCTCTTTCTATTTTGTGCCCTCCTTTCTTCTCTGCTTCTCACCTACTAGGATTTATATTTGTAGTTTGGCTTCTGGGCCCCAATTCCAGGCTCTCTATAGCCTTTGCTTTGCTATAACTGTGACTTACTGTGACTCCTAATCTCTTATAGGCTATTTGCAATGGTCCAGATAGTAAATATATTTATTGACCACATCATAGAGATCAAGTACATTCTGTTTCAACCACTCAATCCTGCTTTTCTACCAGGAATCCTAAATGTTCCTATGACATGAAAAGGCAACGGTTGAGATACTCGGAGTTTTGCTAAAAGCCAGTACAAACAATGTCCATTGCATCATGGCAAGCTGGTGCATGTTCTCAGCCAGTCTTGGGACACACAGCCCACAGAGGACAGTTCACAGGAAGGGCTGATGGTCCCTGGCAGCCTAAGAATGAAGTAGTTACTGGGCAGAACTGGCCCATACCATAGCTCTAGAAGACATTCACCCCAGTGTATGGTCTATAATCAAGTTCATAGTTTCCAACAGGCTGGTTGCCCAGTTAGGGCTGTCTGAACCCTGCCCATTACCTTCACTCCATCCAGCACAGCTTTGATGACCCCCTTCACAGTCGTCACCATCTCTTTATCTTCTGAGTTCACACCCTCTAGCATCACCTGGTCAGACCATCGGATGAGGTTGGCGAGACTCTGGTATACTCGGCTATAGCAGGAGGAGAGGGCTGAGCTACAGGAAGGAGAGGGTTAAAGAGTATTAGCAAACAGTCTGTATCATGACCCTCCTTCCCAGGGAGCACTCAGGAAGGCCAGCTTCTCAGTGTCCAGGGAACATTTCTTATTATAAAATTCATTTTTTTTTTGAGACATGGTCTTGTTTTGTAGCTAAGACTAGCCTTGGCCTGACTTCTTAATTCTTCTGCCCCAGCCTCCTGAGTGCTGAGATTATAGCAAGTGCCACAGTAACCCAGTTAATCTCCCCCCCCCTCTGTCTGTCTCTCTCTCTCTGAGATAGGGTTTTCCTTCTATGTAGCCCTGGCTGTCCTGGCACTCACTCTGTAGACCAGGCTAGCCTTGAACTCACAAAGATCCACCTGCCTCTGCCTCCTGAGTGCTGGATTAAAGGTGTGGGCCACCATGTTGGTAACATAAATCTTATTAAGGAATTCTAGAAAGGGTTGCTATTCTCATTTCATACTTTATACAATGTAACAGAAGAGCAAAAATAACCACTCCCTTACTCCTAAAGCAGACATTTAAACACCAATAAGACAACACAATATTGTAAGATGTGACTTCAGCAGGCTCTAACACCAAAGGTCTTGAAGCTCTTTCCAAGTGCATCAGCATAAGGGAAGGAGCTATGCTTTCTGCCAGCTATGACTGCACCACAGGAGCTGTCAGCAAGAAGAAAAGCAAACCCTCCTCCAGGCCCTGAGAATGAGGGGAGCTGGTAAAAAGCCTGGAGAGAGTCAAGGACTCACAAGGATGAGGCAGGAAGAAGAGCCGGCCGGCCGTGCCCCCTGGAAAGCTGGCCCAGTTCTGCAGTTTGCATCTGTCTGGCAGCTCAGGTGCCCTGGGGGCAACACTAGCCTCAGGTCCTCTGAGTGTTCTGTTGTTGTCACTGCTTTCCTCCAGCAGCAGCTTTTCCTTCTCTGCCAGGAAGCAGGAGTACCTCACAACCAGCACTTCATCACATGTGGGGAGCCCAACTTTTGAACTGATTTTAGCTCTTCCCTGGTGGGGGCTATCACATGGGAACAGAGGTATGGCAGTATCTAGAGGTGGCTATATACATATCTGATGGCCTAATGTCAGGCTCATTTTCTCAAAGGAGACCACTGAGCCTCCATGGGGTGAACTAAAGGAGAGCCACAGTATAGACAGCAGCACCAAGCCACCAATAGCACAGAGAGGTAGGGGCCAGCCAGCAGAAGCTGGTATGGAAGCTCCAGGCAGAACATTTCTTGGAAATAAAGACACATATATGTTGTATCTCTCAGAAGAAAACTGTGAGCTTCACCGCAAGTTCTGAAAGCCATTCATAAAAGCTCAGTCTCACGGGGCTAAGCAGACACCAAGTGCCTTCAGAAATTCACACAGAGATGAATAGGCACTGACAAGACCTCAGACCTGCCGGCCTCTTCAGAAAAGTGCCTGCCAGCGTGGAGACTGCACCTAGCACCCCTTTCCTTGTTACACTTAGCAATACACATGGGGCAAGCTAGCCTGTGAGGAGGAAATGACTCTAGCAATCACAGCTGCCTGGGAGGTCCTGACCTGACACAGGCCAGGGTTTCACTACACCTTGTTTTATCAGATGGTAATCCCACAGCTGAGGACTTGTATGACATGACTGAACATCACGGTAAGTGATGATGGAGGCTCTGAGAGTGTGTCCAACTCACTACGATCACTGCTAGAGCGCTAACGTGAAGGGTACAGCCACAGCTCAGAGGGTTGTGTATCTGCTGGGACAGTGGTGTCAGCCAGCATACAGACCCCTGGAGGAGCCTCAAGGCTGGGAAGTGGGGGCAACTGGAAAACACCTTTACCCTTACTGCTTCAAATGCCCCAAACCAAGGTGTCTCTAAGCTTCCATTGCTGTCACAACTAACTTCAAGGGGACTCACCTGTGCTGGATCCGAGGGTCAGTCTGTACCAGGGGTAAGATGGCCTCCAGCACCTTGCTGGCTGACCCTGGGAGCATCTCCAGAACCTTCTTATCAATGGCCATTTTGTCCACAATGGTCTTAAAGTAGCGCAAGGCACTGACAACCTCCTTCTCTTTTTCCTCCAGCCAGCACAAGTTCTGAAAGGGAATGTCATGCTTAAGGAATGAGAAGAGATTGAAGGGAGTTATTCTGAAACAGTAAAATCTATAAGCTAGCTCGACACTCCTGCAAATGGAAAAGGTTCTGTAGGCAGAGACCAAGTCAGATGGTTTCTCTAAGGACTGTGATCAGGAGACAGAGGCTAGCAGGAAGAGAGACAGGTTTAGGATTAGAAGGGTCATTCAGAGACTTGAGGATTCCCTTCCCACACTCTGAGATCCTGGAAACATTCTAATGGCTACCCGAGAGAGCACTTCCTATTTCCCAGTGTGTGATGAGGCTCAGGAGGACACAGGCACATATACTCATCCCAGAATCAGATTCAGGATCCAAAGATTCAGGAGTTGAGGGACTGGAAGTATTCACAGCCCATCCTCCACCTAGGACCCCACACACTCCTACCCAAACCTGGAGCTCCCTCCCCATGAAAGAACTGTGACTCAAAGGACTTTAATCCCAGGGCTGGAAGGAAGAGATGAGGAAGCCAGAGCCAATGTTAGTGATCCAGTGACTACTGGCTGCTAACAGCATTTGGGCATTATGATTCCAAGGAAAACCACCTGGAAGGAACAAACAAACAAACAAACAACCCAAAACTCTACAATGCCTGTGCTTTCCTGAACTCATCCTCCTAACCCCAGATTCCTGTTTTCTTCTTGACTGCAGGTAGTCTTGGATCCATACCGAGCAGGCCATAGAGCTCTAGATTCCTTTCCCCAACCTCCCTTCTCCAGCAGTCCAGATCCCAGGGGCGGCAGAAGCAGACATTGAGAGCCATCTAGAGGGGATAATTCCACAAACAGACAATCCATACAAGAACAGACTACACATTTGGTGATGTGAGGAGGTATGTGGACACCAGTGGGCTCCCTAAGGTCCAGAGAACAAATAATGGAAACCGACGGCAAGAGATGCTACCAAAAATGTTGATTTAAGTAATCTATAAATATGTGTATGGCAGAAATATTATAAAAAGTGATTATTCTTTTGGATACTAAATCTCTCCCATCCCCAGATGTCAGGAAATATTATTTAAAATAAAAAAAATCCAATATGGGAGGTTATCTCATAGGAACACCAAAAGAAATATCTGTAAGTAGATGGAATCAAGCAGTTCTTTGGTCAGCTAACTTCCAAAGGCCTGGAGTGAGGTCTCGGAGTGCTCTGCGGACCACCAAGACCCACCCTTCCTGACCTTCACTTCCTAGGGCTATCTGACATGCTCGTTTCTTGTCTGTCTCCAAGAGGCTGAGCACTGGGTTTTCTACTGCCTGGACACCAGTGCTCAGCTCCACCCCACCCCACCCTGAGGAATCAGGACTCCCAGTGCTGGAGCAGACAGGAGGAAGAGGACGGATACTGCTGTCTTGGCACATCAAAAAGTACCAGAAGGCAGCAGTGAGGAAACTTGGTGAGGAAACAGGAAGTACTTTAGGAAAACATGGCACATATACAGGCAAGGGTGAAGGGGGAACTGAGATGGGAAACAGTTGAAAGTGCAGCACCTTAGAGCAGAAAGACTCTTCCTGTCACCGAGGAGAGATTAAAGCAGCCACACAACAGCCAGGCTAACCGGACTCAGTAAAGGAGCTAAGTAAGACTCAGCAGGTCGGGTAGTGTCTGTTACTGCCCACCAAACTCCATACCTGAGTGAATGACCTCTTAATGCTCTACATTTCCTGAGCCCTTCAGCTGTGATCAGTAGTCAGAAAAGTGCATAACATACGGCACCAGCTGACCTGGGGACTCAGTGCTGTGGCTAAGCTATAGTCACCCACCTCAGAGTGGCAGTCTGACCTTCATACCTCTTCCACCCCAGGGAGCAGTTGCTACCACCTGTCCTCATCAGCTTGGTAACTCTGTGAGACTGTCAATCCTGGCAAGGGCCCAGACCTAAGGCCAGGCTGGACTTGGGAACAGTAGATTCCAGCTCCTTGTCTGTGGAACAGGTGAGAGCATCTGCCCTATGTCACGGTGTGTGACTGATGCTAGAACTCAGTGGCAGAGCATTCGCCTAGCATAAGAAAGGCCACGGGTTCAATCCTCAGCACTGAAAAACAGTCACAGTAACAAAAAGAAACACAGAACACCCAAGTAGGTGCTGAATGGGCAAGTATGGAAGTCTCCAATAGCACTTAAGAGGTGCTATATCAATCAGGGTCAGAGGCCAGACCTTTACTAGGGAAAAAGCAAGGGAGGAGGACAAAGACTGTAAAACTCTCAGTGGGGAGAAAGGGTCAGGCTACAGCTGCCACTCTGAGTGTTCCAAGCCACCCACAGAGCTCTGCACTTTGGATGCATTTGTTCAGTTTAGGCTGTTGCCTCCCCATACAACAGATGCTATTATTTCATAAATAGGGAAATTGAGGCCAGGTGGGGAGTAGGTAGGATGGGCAACCTGCCCAAGATCCCACAGCTGAGTGACAAAATTACAGTACAGATGTGGCATGTTTCATTCCACAGTCTGGACCGTACAAAAGAGACCGATCAAAAGTGTGGTAGAAGCTGATATGGTAGCGCACATTCATAATCCCAGCACTCAGAAGGCAGCAGAGGCAGAAATACAAGTATGAGAACAGACCTGCTCTCATATACCTGGTCCCAGCAACACGGGAGATAACTGGAGATCTGGGTCAGCCTAGGCAACATAGCAAACAAATGCTGTAACACACACACACACACACACACACACACACACACACACACGCACGCACGCACGCACACGCACACACACACGCACACACACACACGCATGCACGCACGCATGCACACTCAGAGAGAGACAGACAGACACAAATAAGAGTCCTGGGTTCAACACTCTTATTTAATAAATAAAAAGGGGACACAGGTAAGTGGACGCTGAGGTCACTTTCCTGCCTGGTAGTGGTGACACCACAGCACGGCAGGCACAGAGGAAAAGGAAGGGACACAAACTGGCCAGGGTCTTCAGCTACTGCCTCATATCAGAGCAGCAGTAGATACCCAGCTTGTATTTGCAGCCCTGGCCTCTCTGCATCATGGAAACTAAATTGCATCCATAGCACTGCAGGACAGTCAATTAGGGAGTTGTGGGTAAGTCAAGGCTGGGGAGCAATTAGAATCAGCATACAAAAGACTGGAATCTGGGTGCACTGATGGTGCATGCCTTTAATGTCTGTACTTGAAGGTAATCTGTCTCCGTGAGTTTGAAGACTAGTTTGGTCACATAACAAAGTTTCAGGGCAGCCAGGACTAAAACACAACACAGCACAGCAGAACAACAAAAACTGGAGCCAGGATCATGTAAAGACAACTCAACATCCTTCCTTCTTCTGTACCTGACAGCCAGGCCCTGCAGAAAGGCACATCTAACAGAGATCAGTAGTGCCAGGCTCTGGGACAGGGGCATCTCTTTGCTGACTTCACATAAGATCTGCAGACCTGAAAGGGAAACCCCTTTAGAAGTCCACAGGAGGCCCCAGGACCCAGCCGCTGTCTAGATGCCCCAAGGATTCTGAGCCACTTCTGGACACTGCAATGGATCATACAGAGAAGGTTGGCTTTGGGTTGTGACTAAACTTTTTCTGCCACTTTCAACAATCCATAGCTCACTGCTAGGCTGGCTAGAAGGCTAAAAAATAACTGACACATTTTTCTAAGAGAAGACTATTGTGTTTAGATGAAGCCAGGCTGGAAAGACACTGGAAGACAGTGGACAAAACAGACTTCATCAGAAAATTTGGGCCATAGCCAACACTGTCTATTAACTCTCTCCACATGGCTGGAGCAGAATAAATAAAACAACAGGTGTAAAACCACAGGGACGGACAGGGGCTGGGCAAGGGAAAGCCAGGAAGCAGCAATAGCCGGGATCTGCACTTCTACTGCCTGTGTGTGCTTCAAATCCCGGGATTTCATAGGGAAAGCCACAAGTGGAATAACGTGAGCTATGTAGGCAAACACTCTGCGAGAGGTGACAGAGAGAATGAGCAGCAGACTACAGCAGCAGCAGCAACCTTCCCACACCACAGGTTTCCAGACACTGCCCTCTCACCTATGTGCTGTGGCAGGGCCCTTCCTGGGGTCTGCACTAATCAGCTGTCCCCACTCATGAAGGGCTGAGCTCTACCTCAGTACTACAACACCCAGGGCCTGGGAGGGGCACCCTGCTGCTACAGGATGTTCACCAGTACAGCTGGCGCCTACCTAGTGGACATCCAGCAGCTCCTGCTTCACACACCGTGTGACAACTGAAAATGTCCCAGGCATTCCTGGGGTTGCAGACACCTCACTAAGTGAGGGTATGCTTCTGTCAAATTTTCCTCCATGGCCTTTCTTTGAACAACGCATAACGAAAAGATTCCAGAACCAAATGGCTCACTATCAACACTCACTTGCAGAGCAAAGCGGTCTGCCAGTAAGCCAGTTATGCTGCACAGCTTAAAGGTGTGAGCTCCAAACTTCTCTCGGCTCAGGCTCTTCTACGTGAAGGTAGTGTGCCTGATAAAATGCCAAGTACTGTCCTCTTACTCATAGGCAACAATTAATCCAACAGAATTTCTGGGCTTACAAACCCTCTTAACTAGATTTTTAAGAAACTCTGCTTGGGGCTGGAGAAATGGTTCAGAGATTAAGAACATTGTCTGCTCTTCCAGAAGTCCTGAGTTCAATTCCCAGCAACCACATGGTACCTCACAACTATCTGTAATGAGATCTGGTGGCCTCTTTGAGTGTGCAGGCATAACACTGTATATATAATAAATAAATCTTAAAAAGACACTCTGTCCACATAAACAGAGCAGTGTTTGGGAGTCACAGTAAACTGACAGCATTGACAGTTCTGCATCCATTGGCCCTTTGACAGTCACAAGGGAAGGAGGAGGAGTTCATCTACAAAGTTTGATACATCGATACATGTATTTTTTAATTTAAAGCAGTGCACCAAGATGAACATTTAGATTTGTGAGACATTAATAAACACATTCGGGCTTGATTTCTTAAAGAAGACATATAACAGCGGGGAACGGTGGTATACACCTGTAATCCTAGCATTCAGGAGGCAGAGGCAGAGGCAGGAGAGCTGCACTTTAAGACACGTCTCAAACGAAACAACAAAACAAAACCCTGGACTGAGGACATAGCTCTGGGTAAAGCTTTGGCCTAGGACACACAAGGCCCCATATCAGACCCTCAGCACCTTAAAAAGCCCGTCAGGCTCTGTCATCAACAGTCTGCACTCGAGTCCTGACTTCACCATTACTCTGTGGCTTTAGTTAGATGTTCCCCTTCTTTAGAGACTCAGTTTCTTTTTAAGCAGGGGAGGTTTTCACTGTCAGGGACGTTGGGAAGAGAGGTAAGCACTCAGCACAAGGCTGCAAAGAGGTCCTGTCTGTGCCAGTGCTAGTGACAGCTTTGCAGTTGGCTGCAACAGCGTCCCAAGGCTTTAGAAGCCTTCTCCATAAACCACGCCCATAATCTCAGCAACTCCGGGATGGTGATGCTCGCCAACTACCCCAGTGCCTGCTGGGATCCACTCCTGAAAGGACCCAGACTTTGGCTGTGAAGACTGAGCTCCCTCCCCATCAACACCACTCAGGTAGATGCTTTCATTCAAGAATTATATCAAATACTTGAGCCCACAGTTGCCACCCAGCTAAGACACAATGACATTGCCATAGGTATTTTCCCATCCCCAGACCAAGGACCAGAGTTCTGCAGTGGAAGGCAAGGCAACCCCAATTGTTCTTAATGTCACACTGACCTTCTGCCTCTGAGACCTGGAAGCCACAGCACTGGTGGACAAAAATTCTACTGCCTGCTGCTCCAGATCCAAGGGGATAGGGTAGCCCTCTGGTAGAAATCTGTCTCTTGCCTCCTGGAAGAGAGGAAACCTGGATTCCTACAGAGCTTGAAATGGACGCTGCAGGCTGGAGGGAGGGTTGGTGACAATAACAGCTGCTCACACATCTGGCTCAGCTGGCCCTGCTGAGGTTACCAGTGCTGGAGGATGTCTTTAGATGGGATTCAGAGCCCAGGCCCTGAAGCTGAATGACTGGTTCAGGTCATCAGAGCCCTGAGTGAGAGTACCCCAGGGCTTCTGGGTGGGAGGCAGCACCAGGTGTGAGCATAGGACTCTGAGCTACTTTAAATGCCCAGAGGATGATACGGAACTGTCCAAGCCATTGGCTGGACTGATTAGCAGGACAGGCACACACCATCCTAGAGGTCCCAGGTCCCAGGGACACAGATGGCCCTAGTAAGCGCAGCCCCCAATGTTGGCCATAGGCCAGGGCCAGGGGATCACCTAGAGATGCAGCTTACTTTGCTTACAGGCTTCTCGGGAATCTTCGACACCTCGGCTGGCTTTCCCTTCTTGGATGGTGTTCTCTTGATTTTGGGAGAGTGGAATTTGTCCATCAGCTTCATGGTGAAGGAGGAGAGATGAGAACGCTGAGAGTCTGAAAACACAGAGGCCTGGCTGTTAGAAGAGGAGGCAGGGGAAGTTGTGGCTCTCTTGTGGGAATGACTAGGGTGCTTACGCAAGGATTTCCTTCTTGAAAGGAAAGATTCAAATGAAAGGACATATAGATCCCGTCTACACTCTGCTTACATGTGTCGGTTTTTGCAATTTCTACCTGTTTTAGGGTGACTAGAACTCTGAGCAGCAGAGGTGGGCAGGATGGGTATTAAGAAGAACTTGCATTAAAATGTCAGCAAGTCCTTGATGGTTCCATATGAGCATCCAGTCAATGTTCAAGAGAAACGGTTAAGAACACTCGCGGACTCCGAGAGGGGGAGATGTTAACAAGTAGCAGGAAGGACTTTGTAAACATAACAAATAGTCTCCTATTCTTGGGCGTAGGGAAGTACAAGTGACATGACACAGGCCAGTTCCTAGAGGTGGCAGCAAAGACAGAAATGGAAGCAAGGTGTTAAACCCTTCTGGTCTAAGACAAAAAACTGAATGGTTTCCTAAGAGTAAGGCAAGTCAAGGATGTTGTCACTGTTCCTGGTTGACATGGCACTATTAGTTTCTTACAGGATAATTAGTAAAGAGGGGGAAAAGGTACCCAGCTTAGAAGGAAGAGTGACACTTTCTGTTTCTATGTCTGTTTTAATCAGGGTCTCACTATGTGGCCCAAGATGCCCTCACAGCGATGTGGCCTCAGCCTTTGGAGTTCAGGGTCACTGGTCTGCAGGACACATGCAGCTCTCTACTTGCAGAGATGGTGTATAGACACTCTTAAGAATCCACTGAAGAGCTCTGTTAATACTGGCTAGAGAGACAGCTCAGTCGAGACTGTAGTGCTTGTCTTGTGTGTCCATGACCTGGGCTTTGCCCTCAGAACCATAACAAAGAAAGAAGTAAATAAAATGTAACAGCCTCATGTAGTGGCACATCTTTAACCCCAGCACCTAGGAGGCAGAGGCAGAGGCAGACAGAGTTCTGTGAGATCCAGGCCACTCTGGTCTACAGTGGGTTCTAGGCTAGCCAGGCTACATAATGTGTCCTGTGTCTCAAAACAAAACAAAAATCTATCAATACTAATAAATTCAGTAAGGCCATAGGACACAACATCAACATATAAAAACTATTTTTACTTTTATACGGCAGCAATGAAAATTCAAAATAAAATTAAAAAACCCTTTAATTTATATCAAAAAGGACATCCTTGGACATAGATTTGGCAAGAGAAATCTCACACTTCGCAAACTATAAAACACAGCTGAAATTAGAAACAACCAAAATACGTGGGGGAAGTACCCATGCTCTTGGATCAAATGGCTTAGTACTGTTACAACAGTAATATTTCCTAGTAACAACTTGTTACCCAAAAGAATCCTGCTAGTTTAATTTTTTTTTTTTTGGTAAGAGGTGACACTCTAATCCTAAAATCAGTAAGGAAATATGAGAGATCCAGAACAGCCAAAGCAAACAGCAACGCTTCAGGACCAATACATCTCAACATAAAAACTAAGTGCATTAATCAAGACACCACAGTACTGTAGCAGAAAGATAGACACATGGATCCAAGAACAGAACTCCAGTTTACATATTCATGCTGATTTTCAACAAGGACATGGTGGCCACTGATGGGGGAAGGGACAGTCATTTCAACAAGCAGTAGTGGGGTGAGTGGGCACTTGTCTGTAAAAGACTGAATCGGGACCTCTACCTTACACCACATGCTAAAATGAGCTTCAAATAAGTCAAAGATCTAAACTTCAGAGTTAAAACACTTAGAAGAAAGTACAGGTGGTCTTATGACCTTGGATTTGAGTGTACTCTTAGCTGTAACACCAAAAGCACAAGGAACAGAAATAAAAATAGATAAATTAGAATTCCATGAACATTAAAATCTGTGCTGTGATGACTGCATCAAGGACATGGAAAGACAACCTATAGCATGGAGAACATATTCACAGATTGTTTATCTGATGAGGGACTCCACCCAGAAAGGAAAAGCATTCTGGGGGAGCTGGAGGCCTCAAATCCTAGTGCTCTGGAGGCTGAGACACCAAGATCACAATCCGAGGCCAGTCTGGGCTACAAAGCCCAGACCCTGTCTCAAACCAAACCAAACCAAACCCAAATAATCAAAAAACCAAGGGATGTAACTAGCTCACTGGTAGAGCTTGTCTAACTCAGCCATGGCCTTAGTTTTGCTACTTGCAGCACTGCAAAATAACAGCAACAACAATGCCAATAGAACTTTACAACTCAGCAACAGCAGACAAATAACCCTCAAAACGAACAAAGAGGCTGGGCAGTGGTGGTGCACACCTTTAGCCCCAGCACTTGCGGGGTGGGGGTGGGGGGGCGGCGTATCTGAAAGCATCACCCTGTCCATGACATTCAGACACTGAAGACCGTATATTGTGTGATTCTATTTGTCTGAGATGTCCAGAATAGTAAGTCCACAGAGACAAAAAAAGATCAGAGGTTGCCTATGACTGCAGAGGGAAGAGAGAAGGATAAAGAAGGATCACTAAGGGAACATGGGGTCTTCTCCGGGAAAGCACAGACAGCATTAGAATAAGATGACGCTTACACAAGCCAGTAAGTCACTGTACACTTTGAGTGAGCAAATGCTAAAACACAAATGATATGTCAGCAAAGCTGATGAAAACAACTATCCAACCCACCAGACAACATGCCTTGCAGATCATGCTCTGTGCTGAGGCAAATGTGGCATGGTGCACTCTTGGAAGACTAGGCGGGGAGGGAAACACCTGGTGCTGTCCAGCGCCCTGCGTGGCGGGAGGGCCTCAGGTTCAGGTAAGTGATAGGAGATGCTTGGCAGGCAAGGTACCTTATCAGGAAACATGCTTGTGTTGGAAGACTGCCCAGCTGGAGGCTGATGTAAGTGCTCTGAGCATGTGTGAGGCAGGCTGGGCTGGGCTACAATATTTTGTGAGCTGGAGGCATGAAACACATTCTTTTTTTTTCGGGGGGGGGGGATTCAAGACAGAGTTTCTCTGTATTGCTTTGGAGGCTGTCCTGGTACTCACTCTGTAGACCAGACTGGTCTCGAACTCACAGAGATCCGCCTGCCTCTGCCTCCTGAGTGCTGGGACTAAAGGCATGCGCCACCAACACCCAGCATGAAACACATTCTTGAAAAGATTTATTTATCTGTCTGTGTGCATGTGTGTGTGTGTGTGCATGAGTACATACACAGAGGCCAGAAGATGGCACTGGATCCCTTGATGTTGGAGTTACAGGTATTGTACAGCAAGTATCCTCAACTACCAACCCACTTTTCCAAATACACAAACACACAGATAATTTTTAAAGGTTTATAAAGCTGAACAATGATGTCACAAGCCTTTAATTCCAACATTCAGAATGCAGAGGCAAGCAAATCTCTTGAGTTCAAGGCCAGCTTGGCCTACAGAACTAGTTACAGGCCATCTAGGACCCTGTGTCCAAAACCAAAACTAAAACCAAAACCAAAACAAAACTTTTCTAATTTTATGTGTAGGAGTGTTTTGCCTGTCTATGTGTATATATATTACATATGCCTATGGGAGTCAGAAGAGACCATCAGAGCCTCTGGAACTGGAGTTATTGTAAACTACCATGTGGGTATTGGGAACTGAACCCAGGTCTTCTACAAGAGCAAAAAAGGTACTCTTAACTGCTCCCTGGCTTCAGTTCCATAGGTAAATAAGTCTTTTTTGAAAGTGTGTATACTTTACACAGGTACCTAGTACACAGAACATCTCAGCCCAGGCCAGACATGCTCAGAACACTTGCATTAGCCCTCTTCCAAATGCACTTCTGACTTGTCTTTTTAACTAGAGATGGGTACACTGGACCATAGCTTCACTTACCAGCAGGCCTGGCACAGGGTAGCTGCTCAACACAGAAGCTAACCTGCCTACAGATCTGTACCAGGGTGTTCTGCAGCTCTGACATGTAGCTCACTCTCCTAACTAGAGGGAGCTTCACCAATCCCCTCTCCTATTCGTTTACAAGAGAGACATACCTGTTCTGGTACAGCCTACTTCTTCTGTATCCATCTCACTGCTGCTCCATCCATCCCATTCCTTCAGATGCTGACCTTGTAATATCCCCCCAAGAGACAGCACACCCTGGCCCAGACAGGCTCTGGGTGGATGGGATGTGATAGCAATAGACTAATCTGTCCAAGACAGGCTGACAGCAGAGAAAAGAAAGCAGGCTTGAAGGGGAAGTCTGGTAGGACATACATTTGGTTTACTGTGGTGGTCAAAGTTCCTCAGACTTGGCTGGGTGAACCAACCTCCTCTTTTGTAGGGTCTGCTGCCCTGGGTTCTGTAGGGAGATGTGGGGTTAGGGAGCTGGCCAGACTCACAGCCAACTGATGGGAGATGTAATTCTGTAAATCTGTCTTTTATTGGTTGTTGAATAAAGCACTGTTGGCCAATAGGGAAGCAAGATAGGTGGGACTAGGAGTCAAGGAGGATTCTGGGAAAGAGAGGCAGAGTCAGATACAATGTAGCCACCATAGGAGTAAGAGGTCTGGACCCTTTTCTCCGGTAAGAGAAATACTTAGATTAACAATTATGGGTTAAATACTTAAGTCAGAGCTAGCCAGTAATAAACCAAACAAACAGCCAACAGCTTCATAATTAATATAGCCTCCTGTGTTTTCATTTGGGACTGATGCAGCCCTGGAACCAGGCTGGCAGGAAGACTACACTCTACAGCCAACCATCATAGCCAAGGTCAATGTGGAAAGGAAATGTGGGAGTCACCAAAAACCCTCTAAAAAGCCTGACCATGGACTCTAGGGACACTTACTCCTGACAGCTGCCATCAAACACCAGGAAGTGGGTGACAGAACTCACTCCACCTTTGCCTGCCTGGTCCTGAATTCAGTCTGTGTAGGGATACAACTGGGAAGGTCTGATGACACTCTGAGGGCCCTGTCAATACATCACTCTTCTCAGGCTATTTAGTGGGCACAAA